CGACGTCTGCGAGGCCGTCGAACATGGTGGAGGAGATGTGCAAAGTTTGGGAGGGGGTGTCGAGGACGACCTTGTTGCGTTCGAGGTCCGAGGCGCTCTTTGCGAGGCGCTTTTGGACCTTGGCGAGGCGGGCGGAGAGGTCGCGGTACTCGTCGAGGTTGACAAGGAGCGTCTCGAGGGCTTTGAGCGACTTGTGGAGGTCGGGACGTTCCACGAGGTGCACGTCTGCGGAGGAGGATGGCGGGGCGAGCGGCGAGACGGGTTGTGGGCTCAGCGCAGCTGGCGAGACGGCGCGCGGTGGAATGTCAAAGTACTGCTGCTGAGCGCTTGGACTGTGCGGCTGAGGCGATGCGCGCGCGGCGGGCGAGTGGAGCATGGATTGCGAGGACTGCGGAGAGATCTGCCTGGATGCGTACTGGGGCTGTTGGAGCGCGACGCTTGCGGATTGGCTGGTGGGCGGCAAGAGGTGGTTTGCCGAGGGAGATCCGGCGTCGTATGGTGAGGTACTAGCCGCTGGGGTGGCGGCAAGGTAAGAAGCATTTGGGCTTGTGCTGAGGGAGGCGGAAGCGGGCTTGGAGTCGCCTACGCCGACGAAGCGCTGGATCTTCTTCATGGATGGCTGATTGTCGTTGGTGTTGATGAAAGGAGGAGACGCGTGGTGGTGGTGATGCGATATATGTAGGGTGCGACGGGCGACGGCGGTGTCGAGGGCAGCGTTGTGGGTATGAAGGATGACGTCGAAGTGGGGCGAGGTGGATGAGATGGAGGTGAGGATGGATGGGTCGGGTGGGCTTGGTTGTGCCTTTGCTATACGTTGGACAAACTTCAAGTCGCCCTTTTTGGCAGGTCTGATGCGCGGTGCATATGCAGGGCCCTCACCTTATCCGCTCTCAGGGGTCTCCGATCCAAAGCCGGGCAACACGCGCTCACACGGCCGGCAGAGCCAACTTCTACTGGCGCGCCATCACACCACCGTGGCGTAGAGTGTTGGTCTTTTTGGGCGAACGCGTCTCATGCACCTCGCCCCTCTCTCGGCACGCGTCCACCTGCCAAAAAAGAAGCGAGCCGAGAATCAGGGGCGGCTGTTGCCAGATTTTGGACATTCGTGCGAGAGACAACTCGAGTTTCTGTCAATGTTAGGTCGAGATAAAATTGTTTGTTCTGGCCCAGAATTTCCAGCGCGGTCGGTTCCGAAAGGCGGCGCATCCGCCCGGGCCCGGATTTGAGGATTTGAAATCGACGGCAGCTGGCCCCCGGCGTGGCTCTCCGACTCGGAAGAAGTGTGGTCGCCATCATCACGATCAACGCTCTCGACGCTCTTCCACCACACTCCACTCCTGTCGTCATCCGCATCAGCAACAACAATGTCGCTCGCAAAGTCCGTCTACAACACCGTATTCAAGCGTAACTCGGTTTAGTGAGTCGTCGCCCTTCCAACACTCGCACTCGCACTCGCACTCGCACTCG